CCTCAAGCCCGAGGTGGGCGCGGGGCAGCGGCAGCGGGGCAGGGCTGCGGCGCCCGGGCCTGCCTCTGACCGCCGCCCCGCCGCCCTCACAGAACATCCTGTACGCCGAAGACACGCCCGGGGCCCCGGTGAAGATCATTGATTTCGGGTTCGCGCGGCTGCGGCCGCAGCGCCCCGCGGGGCCCATGCAGACGCCCTGCTTCACGCTGCAGTACGCGGCCCCCGAGCTGCTGGCGCAGCAGGGCTACGACGAGTCCTGCGACCTCTGGAGCCTGGGCGTCATCCTGGTATGGGACGCGGTTCCCGAGGAGGGTTCAGGGTCTCCTGAGCCTGGGGTCAGAGGTCCTCTGGATGCGGGGCAGCCCGAGGCAGGGGACAGGGGTCATGTTGGTGGGGCGGCAGTGTTTCTCCCAGGGTCTGGTGCTGGGGTCGGGGCATCGTGTATTAGGGCGTTAGACGTCAGGGTTCATCACGCGCAGGTCTCAGAAGTCACCTAGTGGGGAGGGCGAACGGTTTTGTGGGTGGGTTGAGGGGTCGGCCTCGGCCTGCAGTCTGCTCTGGTCTCACTTTCCCCCCGCCCCCATAGTACATGATGCTGTCGGGGCAGGTCCCTTTCCAGGGAGCCTCAGGCCAGGCCGGGCAAAGCCAGGCGGCCGAGATCATGTGCAAGATCCGTGAGGGGCGCTTCTCCCTAGACGGGGAGGCCTGGCAGGGCGTGTCTGAGGAAGCCAAGGAGCTGGTCCGAGGTGCGGAGCCGAAGGTCGAAGGTCGCAGACCGTGGTCGGGGAGGGGGAGGTTGTGTAATTATGCTGGGCGGGGACGGTCACTGCATCAGGTGTCCTGGTTGGGGGGTGGGTAGGGGACGAGAGTGGGGTTGTTAGGATCGCTCGGGCGCAGCCTCCACACAAGGCCGCCCCCCAGCATTTCCCCGTCCGCCTCCAGGGCTCCTGACTGTGGACCCCGCCAAGCGGCTGAAGCTCGAGGGGCTGCGGGGCAGCTCGTGGCTGCAGGACGGCAGCGCGCGCTCGTCGCCCCCGCTCCGGACACCCGACGTGCTGGAGTCCTCGGGTCCAGCCGTGCGCTCTGGACTCAATGCCACCTTCATGGTAAGGGCCGAGGCCTGTGGCAGGTGGGTGGACGGAGCCTCTAGAGGTGGGGTCTCCGGGAGGCAGCTTCATCAGAGCCCAGGAAGGTGAGGTGAACCGAGTCTGCTCTCTGGTCGGTCCAGATCCTGACATTTCGGGATGCTGGAGGCCAAGAGCCTGTTGGCCATGACCGAGTGCAATGGCGGGAAGGGAAGGGCCCCGGTATGGGGTCTAAAACTACGATCTGGAAGCCTGGGCCAGGCCGGGGGAGTGGGGGGATTCACGCCCTCCTTTCTCCCAGGCGTTCAACCGGGGCAAGCGTGAGGGCTTCTTCCTGAAGAGCGTGGAGAACGCGCCTCTGGCCAAGCGGCGGAAGCAGAAGCTGCGGAGCGCGGCTGCCTCCCGC